GATAAAAGGGCTGTTAGTTTTCTGCTGTAAATTACTGTATATACATGTTTGTTCATATGCAGAGGGAAGTCTATTACATTTCATAAATCTGGTCAAGGCTTGACAATGTGTTGCAAATAACAAATCTGGCATTGACAGCTTACGTAGCTTCTTGGTTTTGAATCGTGAATACAGCTTGCTCACTTTCTATGATGTCTAGAGGAAAACAGCAGGTAGCTTTTAAACCAGAGCTAACCTCCAGATGCTCTTGTGTTTCTGCTGATTTTAATGCGGGAATTCGCCATGTCATTTTTACAGTGTGTTAGAGAAGGAAACATGCCAGGAAGCCAGATTAAAAGGCATTTCAAATTGCAGAAAAAGGTGATTAGCTGCTTCCCCCCAACATCCCACCCCCCCACCCCCTCCCCCCCCTTTTCCCAAGGTTCTAACAGCCTCAAGGCACTCTAGAGAGAAGCCTTATATGCTGCAATAAAATAAGGGTGAATAAATTTAGCTTTTAGGAGATATAAAGTGAGACAGTCATTTGGGTCCTTTTTAATGCAGATAAATACATCAGGAAATTCACTTCAAATAATGCAAACAATACATTTTAGGGAGGGAAAGTAGTACTATATTATGAATTTCTACACTGAAAGAACAAAGAATGAGGTCACACAAATTAGGAGTAGAAAGAAATAGAAGTACCTGTCACGTACTGTGTGATGTACATGTACTATTTTGTGCTTACAACTGTGCAGGTTGGTTTGCTAATGCATTGAGACCATACAGAAGTTACATTTTTGGACCATACTAAAACTGCAGAAGTGTGGTGGACAACTGGATAATGATCATGTGTGAATTAAATTCCATCATAATGTTTCAATATGTATAGAATGGAGCTCAACTTCAAGTAAATTACCTAGAAAGGTTAATTTTAAAACTGACAGATTTTCAGATTAAAAATTACACTTATTTTGTACAGAATTATGTAAAACACAAATCTGTTGTATGTAATGAGTAACAGTTTTGAAAACTATAATTCTTTAGCTTTATCAAGGCTTTTTTCCTTCCAGAAATCTAGATTATCATGTTATATATAACCTGAAGTATCTCACCAGGATAACAGTGCCCTTTCTTTTTGTACATATGGATTGGAAATTTCTTTACTGTTATGTGGACACTTTCTATGTTAGTTTTGATGCATAATACTTTGAATCCTTTTATACAAACTAGAATGTATGTGTAAGAATTACTGTCACTGCAATGTAGTAACTACAAACTTATTTTTAAATAAATAGAAAACATGTTTTTCTAAGCTGTCCAACAGTGTTTGCTTCTATCTGGTAATTGACTGCTATGGGATGATTAGTTGTATGTTTTTTAGAACTCCCTAAATTCAGCTCCTCTCGATTCCTTGTGGAATATGGAATAGCTGTATCTGGTAGTATGGTATAGTGGGTAAGTGGGAACAACAAAATTGGAACTTGAGCTCTCTGATAGAGATCAGAGTTTGCTATTTGGTAGGGGTTTTCACTAAGCCCTGCAGTTCAAGAGGCAATATAAAGGCAGTAGAGTCTGGCACTGAAGATACCTCGTTGAGTCCTCTTAGCTCACTTTCATGTGTGCACCCGGGCACCTGCCTCTAACCCTCCAGGAAGCCTTCCCTGTTCAGGTGGCAACTGTTTGTACCGGAGCTACATCCAATCAATGGAAATCTCTGCTTCCCAACAGCTCTAGAAGATGCTGGAAACACTTAAGCAGAGAGAATCCCCTGTCTCCCTCCTGGTCTGCCCTGAGTGGGTGATGCAAGGATAAGCAGACATAGGATGTGTTTTCACAAAACTGCAAGGTTGGTTTGTTTATATCTACATTTTTCTGTTCAATAGATGCAAGGAAAAAGAAATGTGGATTCTCTTTAGTTTCATGTTATTTGCTTTATCAGATGACCTTTTCCTTAATTTCTTACCTGAAAACACAAGGAAGTGATGGGAGAGGCCCTCACAGATGCAGGTATGTGTACTTCTGGGCAATGGGAATGTGGAATGGTCACAGCAGAATGAATTGAGTTCCCTGTGATTTTCCAGACTCTACATGTGAAGACTGGCAAAAGCAAGACTTGTTTTAGCAATTGACGAAAAATCTCTTTACCAAGCATGTGAGTTTTGCTCATTGGCACATTCTGCTTGGAGAAAATAATTTAAGAATACTGAAAATATGACACACTTTGGTGCTGCTGTTATGTCCTGGAGGTAGTTCTGTTGAATGTACATTTCCAGTGTTGCAGCACAATTTTAATAGTGGTGTGCTCATCCAAGCATAAGCTGCTCCAGGTCCAGGGTTTTAGTTTTATTACTGAGAATAGTCTTAAGCAGTTAATAACATTTCCTTTGTTTTGAAAATATCTAAAAAATATTTTTTCCGTGTAACTGTAGAGAATCCTTAAAATACAATTGTATCCCTGTTCCCATTTCTATGACAGGTATCTTTTGGAAGCCTACTATGGTTCTTTCATTTTGTGCAGAAATCAAGACTTTGCTTAGTATTAACAGATGCTGTGAAATGTTGGAACCTGACAATGCTGTTGGAACATGTGCTGATTTTAACATCGGCTGGAAATTAAACTCCAAACAAGCCACACCCCAGCCCCTGCCCCTTCCAGTAAAGGAGGGACAGAAGAAGAGAGACTATGGGTAGAGATAACAACTTACTGAAACACAAAATGATGGAATAAGACACCCACAGAAAGGTATTCACCACCAGGGACAAGAACAAAGGCGGTGGTGAACATTCTCCATGGGTCGTGTCCATGTGGTTTTTCCAGACAAAGGCAATAGGATGATCATTCCCGCATGCTGCCCACATGGTAGCTGGGGAAACAAAGGCGGTGTGGTGGGGGAGCTCCCACGGCTAACATTTCCCAGCCCAAAATAATGGAAAACAGTGACAGACAAACCCCGCGGAAGCTGGGTCATCTGAGTTAGGGGTGGTGCTGCCACTGCTGAGCTCAGCTCTGTGCGAGTGCCTTTGCTGCCACTTCCAACGCTCCTGTACACCAGGGCAGGGCAGAATGGTCCCACTGGGATGCTGGCTTTGTGCTGCCCCTGATCACTGTTCCTGCAGCGCCACACATGGGAGCCACGCCACAGCCTCCCCTCAGCACCATGCCCCAGGATGGAATCCCAGGATAGAATCCCAGGATGGAATTCCCGGGTCCTTTGCTGCCACCCTTCTGCAGGAGCAGGAGAGGCAAAAGTGGCCATCTTCCAGTAAGGGCGCCTGGCTTTTCCTGCTGAGTCCAGGCCGAGGTGATGCGGTGTGTGGTAACAACTTGGTCACATCCACACTGCTAAACTCCATCCCCTCTCTAACCAGGACAGATCATAACATACATTAAACAAAGGAAATTGTATGATCATTGAAGTTGACTATTTTGCTTTTAAAGTGAAAAGTTTTTGTGCCAAAGCCGGTGTTCACTGCTCTAGCAATCAATATGAGCTTTGCAAAAAAAATCTTTGTCACTTTTCCCAAAGATAAATGAGCAAAGAGTAATGGCTTTAAAAATTAATCAGTGTTGTTAGTTGAAGCAAATGTGAAAATAAAGCAAGTGCTAGCAAGCAATGGACAATGTGTCTAGAATTTAAATAGCAAAAGGTTGAGTTACTCTACAACAAATTATAATGCAAAATACAATTTTTGTGGCTTTTACTACTGTTAACAGGAAAATCAAAGCCCAAAATGTCTGGTTGTTTTTCTAGCACAGAGAAATATGTGCTAAGAAATCTTTGTAAGAGGCTTAATTTACTGTTTGACAGGACTGCAGTGAGAATTTATGAATCTTCTCTTATACTTTGAAATCTGTGTGAGTGCTGAAGGGAGGACACAGTAGAGAATTTGGGAATTATGTTCTTAGTCTTGTAACAACCATACAAATTTCCTTTGTGCTTCCTTTTCTTGCCTCTGAAATGGGAAGATTTTACCCAAACTTGATCTGTTGGTCTTTCATTTTACTTTAGCTAGATAAATTAATACCAAAAAAAAAAAAAAAAAAAAAAAAAAAAAAAAAAAAAAAAAGAAACCAAACGAAAAACCAAGAAGGAGGAAGCAAGAGGCAAGTAACCAACTCATTCAGCATCAAATTTCTGTAGAGGCCTATTCCTGGAGGTACTGACTTAAAACAATGTTAGCATTCAAGAGCCAGGCAACCTCAGCTGTAAATTTGTGTTGTGTCTCAGATCTCAGAATCTGACTTTGAACAAGGATATTCAACATAATAAAGACAGAACTTAAAATGCAAACCTGGTTAGAATATGATTAAAATGTTAGAAAGAATTACTGTATTTGTATTCAGTATCAGAGAAATCTAGTGGGGTCATTTCTTTGAAATTTGAGCACCTTAATCAAAACTTGAATTCTCTTCAATATTAAGGAAGATGAAGTAAGCTTCCATGAACTGCTAGGTTATGGAATACAGCTGTCAAAAACTTAAAAAAAAAAAAAAAGACTACTAGGAAATCCTTAATTAGTGATTGCCTCTGAATACACTGCCTATTTTTACCCAGCTAGAATCTGAACATGAGGAGCTGGGTATATCTACAGTCTGTACTGTTGTTGTCCTTCACTGATACCAATCAGTCTGCACGCACAAGTACCTGGGGAAAGATTAAATATCTGGAACTCAAAACATTTATGCTGTTTCAATACTTGTAAACTGTTTGAGGCTGTAAAATGTGTGCTAATGTTAAACTCTTCTTAAAGTTTACAAGGGGAATCAGTGGTTAAGTTATTTAGGAAAAGTTACTAGAAAACTCACACAAGCATTGTCTTAAGAAAGGGCAGATCATCTGAAATCGTGTTACGGTTAGGATTGCTCATTTTTTCTTGCATGCTAATGTATGAAGTTGTAATTTTCCTTTGGCTTTGGCCTCTTTGCCCACCTCTGAGTCATGACAGAGCACACAGGGCTGGTTTCTTTCTGACTCTTGCACTGAAAATCTCCACTCAAGCACACAGGAGTAATGTGTTTTGTAAAAGAAGCATCCTCATCTTTCAATTTTATTTACTTTATATTAAAATGTCTTAATGTTTGGGCAGTAATATGTTGCCTGAGTAGGACTTTAAAACCTTCAGCCTCCCTTTGGAAGGATCAGGTTCTTACATGTCTCCTGAGGTTTTGCTCAAGGGAGTCAGTAGGTCCCAGTATTTACTGCAGCCTGGGCTGGTGTGATGCAAACAGAGCCACAATGGCCCCAACGAGTCTGCTCTCCTTGGGGTGGGCTCTGTGAGGCAGATAGGTTGCTCTGAACAACCTGATCTAGCTGAATATGTCTCTGCTTATTGCATGGGAGTTGGATTAGGTGCCCTTGAAAAGGTCCCTTCCAACTCAAATGGTCTATGATTCTATGATTAAAAACTGTTTTTCTTAGGTAGAATTTGTATTTCTAGTCTAGGCTAGTATTCATGTGAGTTTTCAGTTGGGCATTCCTGCCATGTTGCACAGGTTTAAATCCATCCTAGGCCTGGCCCCTTAGTTCCCACATGTTCACTAGGCATGGCTTGATAACATTTTTGATTTTTTTCAGTCTTCCCTTTTGGAGAGTTGTGCTCAGTGAGAAGTGATGGCTAGAGCATTTCCTTCCTCTTGGTAAAGCTTCATGTTTGCTGCTGCTGAATTTCTCTTCTTGTCTACAATGTTCTCATTGCTCCGATCTCTCTGAATCATTCACAATTTGAGTCTGCTTCCTCTGTTTGCTCCCACTCTGAGCACCATCAGCAAGTCTGGTTGCTGTTGAATTTAGACCACAGAAATCTGTGACACAGATGAGGCTCATGGCCGGGTTTGCCCCCTGCAGCAGCCCAGCAGGGGCAGCCCCGGAGTTTCTGATGGGCGCTGACACATGTGCTAGGGAAACTACTCGGGATGCTCCTGCTCCAGCTGTGACAAAGCTGTGGGGCTGCACCAGGTGCTCTCTGAAGTACCAACAGCGTTTTGAGAGGCACGACATGAGGCTGGGTTACAGGGCTGTGTTACGACATATTTTGCATAAACTTCACATGAGAGAGCTACCACTGGACTTCTGTTCACAGCCCGTTCAAGCCACTTGTCCATCCGCATCCGCAGAAAAAAATACCTAGGTAAGGAAGTTGGAAATGTTACTTTCTTTAAGTTAACCTCAGAAATAAATTAGAACTTTTTATTTCTTCATTTTAATATTTCTAAAACTGTCAGGGTGTAAAGTCCACGCGGGTGTTTGCTGCATTTTGAGACTGAGAAATCCTGATCCCTTCTGCACTGAGAGCTTTTTGTGCGATGGACAGACGAGAGCTGGGGACAACCTCCCAAGCCGGCTGAGAGCCTGGCGCGGTTCAGGCTCGGTGCTCGCCTCTCCGGGGTCCTTTGGGCGCTCCTGCGCAGGGGAGCGCACAGCCGCTCCTGCCGCCCCGCCGGGCGAGCATGTGCATATTTGTGCACATTTTGGTAGCACAAAAATGGTTTGATTCGGGCTACCGCATCCTTTCTGTCTGGGGGATCCGGCTACTCAAAATGCCGATTTTAGAGACAGGAGGAAGATGTGCAGCGACAGAAGTTGTACTGCCCCACTCTGTAAGTGCAGAGGGCAGCGCGGTCGCGACCCCCGGGTCCTGTCCAGCCCTTCGGCCTCGCAAGGTCCTCATGGCTATTTGGTAGAACTGTGACTCTTCCTACCCCCACAACACACAAGGCTAACCAAGTACTCTGCAACTACTGACAACGACTAAAAGGAGATTAGGAGATGTTTTTTCTTTACTGGTAACTCTAAAACAGATGATGCAGAAGTTAAAAATAGAGTTTGTGGTAAGGCTTCATCACACACTAAGATGTTTTTATATTGCTTACAATATTCTTTGAACACTGTTTTGTGATCTTGACTCCTTTTGTTGGGCAGTTTTCTTAAGTCTACCTTTCCATGTGCACACGTGCTCTGTATATTACAGTAACCCAAATTATTTTGCGTATTGCACAAATTCGGATAGCAGGATCTAGAAGCTCCTTGGCCACAACTGTGAATTGCTTCTGCTTGTGGGCTGAGTATCCCACTCCAGGAGAGAGCAGGAGCTGCAACAGCTGCTCCTAGAGAACAGGGAGTGGCTGAATGCTGTAGTAAACCTGGGTACTCTGAGAACACCTGTGTAAAAGACACAAGTCTCAAATTTTAGCACATTTTAGTTCTCATTTGAAAAAGCCTCACAAATGTAAAGACAATAAATGTGCTGCTCAGGTGAAGGTGAATATCTTGATAATTTGGGGAAGGAGGAAAGAGCCATGAATATGCACTGGTATGGTGTTTCAGGTGCCTATGGGAATGAGAGGTGATCTCAAATCCTTTTTAATCTAGTGGGACTGTGACACATTATCGACCTGGTACAATGCTGTAAGTGCCTTCAACCTGAAAGCCCCTTAGTTCTGTCAGATGTGCAATTACCACTGAATCTAAACAGATTATTTTTGAGGTCGTCAATCTAGTATGCCAGATATGTTTAATGCACTGGACCAGATGACAAAGCAGCACAAATTTGGTTCACAGACAGCAGCTTTTTACTGCAAATTGGACAACCATACAAATTCCCAGTTCCTTATTCCTTTTTTCCCCCCTTTCTATTTACAGACAAAAGAGATGCCTGTATAAATCTTAAAAGCAGGTTTTTGCTGTCTTGTGTACTTTAGTCTTCTATTAGCTTTTATAAGTACCATGAAATTTAATGCAGTTAAAGTGGCCTAAATTAAGTGTGCTCCAGCTGTAACCAAACTGTAACCAAAATGCCTGAGTACAAATTGTACATAATGTTGTGAACCAGCAAAGCAACCTGAAGGAAACTTTCAAGTTCTACACATCTAGCAAAGCTCACAGCTATGTTTTTTGTCTCTTTTAAAAATTTTTATCTTCCTCTTTTCAGAGTAGGGAACGGTGAGTGTTTTTGACAAAACTTCCTGTTGGAACGCCTCACATCAATGCAGCTGCAGCTCTGCAGATTTCCATGCTGCTTTTTGCTCTTCCTGCACAGTATCTAATATCTCAGTGGTATGGAACGGACTCTGCTGAGTGCATCCAAATAACAGAAAGGTTGTAAGATGCATCTTCCCTACTGCATTTATTTGTAAGAGTTCTCTTTCTCATCCCCAGTGATATTTTGAAAGCTGAAGTGTGGGTGCATTGGCTATTCCTATAAAAAAAAACAACATTTCAACCACACCTTGGGCATTTTTGTGGCTTAATATGACTGTATTTAGTTTCAAAATTCAGATAGCAATTGTTGATTTCTTCACATAAAAATCTTATTAATCTGCATGAGTGCCTTAATCTCATTCTTTTTTTGGACATTCCAGTATATATTTACTAACGGTTATGTCCCTTTCAAAAGATGAAAATTAAGCATTTGATTAAGTAACATTAGTTCTAATTTTCCATCACCTTTTGACATTTTTTGACTTATATTTTCTTGCATAGTGAGAATCAGTACAGACTCTTAACCAACAAAATTCACTCACAGTAAATTACTTAAGGCAGTGACAATGATAAGAGCTAAGTAAGGAGTGCCATTTTGTCTATGAATTAAGAAGCTGTCTATTGACAGAATCCCACACATATATTTCCAAATAAAAAGTGGAGACTATTACATCAGATCCAAATTTTTATAACGGCGTCCACTGGCAAACATTGGCATCTTGAAAATGAACCATGCAAAGAGAGACTCAGTTGTACATGTGGCCTGTGCAGTGCAGTGGTTGTGTGGTTCATCTGTGGGATTCCAGTGCATGAAGCAGGAAGAGCAAAAGATTGGTCTGATGAAAAGAGAATTAAGCTTGGCTTATGCATAAAGACCCAGAATGAAATAATTTTCAGGCCTCATGGAATGAGTCAACCACTTATTATTTAGATTTATGCAAAAACCTCTAGGCTTTTTTAATAGTCTTTTGATTATGTACAGCATTTAAAAAATATCTCATGCTCTCTATTCTCAAATAACAGTTGAAGCTGCAGAATCTGAATGTAATGTAATAATTCCTATGGTCCAAGTACAGGAAGAAAGCAATCTTGTAATGAAAAATGGTATTTTCCAAAATTTACATATGGTTTACTGGTACAAGTAATGATTGAAAGAGTATTTGTTTGCAGTGTTAATATTAATCTTGAGGAGAAATTGTTCACAGTCACTAACCCTTTCTTTCTCTTTGCTACAAAAGTGAAACTTTAAAGTTTAAATATTAAAAATCTATGTAAGAATACTAGAGAAGGTTTTAAAAACAACATGATGATAATTTTTACTCCTAAAGGATAATTGCCTCTTGGAGCATCTCAACAAGATCTTACTTGAGTCTGGATGTGTGGGCAGATTGTTGAAAGCTGTGGCTCTCAAAGACAAGGTAGGGTGTTACTGTCTGCACCAAGGAGATTTCAGCCATGGTCTGTTCTGAGCAGGAAGGTGTGCTGTGGAGGAAGTAAGTGACAAAGAGGAAGTATCTCTTATTTGCTTCTTCAGACTGATCTGGGACTTTCTACACTGAACTCCATTTAAAACTAAACGTAATTCATGGCAGTAATCCTGTACATGCTATCCTCTGAAATGTATCTGACTCTGAAGGCAGAACAATTAGCCAAATTAATGACTGTAAGCAACTACATGTTTTTAGGATTAGATGCTTTAGTGTTGGATGGATATCTTATGCTGTATATTGTAGTTCAAGAAAATCTGAATTAGGAATCACAGACTGTGGAGTTGTACTTTTATATTTTATTACATCTTTATTCTGTCATGGTTTGTTCCAGTGTACCCCCATACTGTATTGGTTTCTCCCTGAGTTTTCCCGCCTTTCCCCAAGTGTCGGTTTCCCTGGAAGGTGCCAAGTCATTCCCCTGCCCCCTCCCAAGTGCCTTGTCTGTCACTCGGTGCCCCTTCCCCTACCTCTAGAAACTTCCATCCAGGGCACCGAGTGATTGGATGAGGTCCTGGGACCCCTGCCCTGTCCATCCCTCACTGGATCCCCCAGATGTCAATCCCCACAAGAGTCACTCCTGTCTGTTCCCCACTGGCTGATCGGCCCCCTCCCTCTCCCTGTGTAACCTGTTGCCAGCAACCCCGAGTGGCATTTGTTGGCTGGCCCCCTCCGGTGCTTTTGGATCCACAGGACCTCAATAAACATCGGATTTTTGCCCCCAACAAGCGCCTCTCCTCATTTCCTCGCCGTTGGAATCGGCAGCGACCTCAGGACCCACCAAGCACTCTCCAAAGCCCAGCCGGGTACAGCGGAGGTGCTTCCACTCGCCCCGCAGGAGAGCTAGCCGGGGCTGAGGACAGGGGGCTGGGGCAGGGACGCGGCAACAGACAGAAAATCTGTGGGCTAAGAAGTAGTGAAATTTTGATTATTTGCCATGTTACAGTGAATGGTTTAGAAAAAGTAAAATTATATCCATTCATACATACACACCATTTTAATTTAAGAAGACTTCATGGACTTCTTTTGGTTCATTGAAGGGCTTATTTGTGAGATTTAATTCTTGTAACAGTAGAAATACTCCAAAGGTTTTACTTTGTATGAACCTTCAGAGGTCCTTTATTCTTGATCCATGTACAATAACCAACAGTGTCAAGTCCTCTAACTGTGGAGGATCCTGACTTAGTTTTTGCTCCCAGCAAAACCTAGGGGAATGGTCTATGAATGGAATCAGAGGCTGTGTGTTCTTCTTCGGTTTACAATAAATTGCTTCTCAATTTTGCGAAAGCTCCATGCATATCTAAAGATAAACCCTGCAAAGATAAATGATCCATTGATTATCTGTATATAGTTAGAACTGTTAGTGTCTTCTGAATATTTTATGAAGAATTGGTTATCCTAAAAATAATGTCGAGACCTTCTATGTTAGCTGCTGTTTTAACAAAGCAGTTAGACACGTTAAGATTTTGCCCATTCCTTTCTGTTAAGAGGTAACTGTCAGCCTTAAGTCTTTCTGCACATTTGAGCTAAACCAAAACTTTTGTAAAAAACCATCGTTTGCACGGAAACCTGCTCTCACTTTCCTCCAGGCAGGGTGAAGGGAGTAAGAATGAAAGACACCATCAAAGAGGAAGGAGATAGGACAACCTGTAGTTCTTT